TGAAGTCCACTCATCTTAAAGTGGCCAAGTTTGGACAACACTGTCCTAGGCAAATAGCCACTTCAGTGGTCCACCGCCCTTCACCCCCATTTGCTCCTTTTCTCAAAGGAAGAACTGTGGAAAACGGGGCATTCCTTACAGATGTCAGTGCAGATTTATTAAAAGCATGTCATGCCAAATCAACACGATCTCCTTTTCTGATAGAACTGGCCAGGTTAGTTGGCCAGAGGAATGCCTTAGTTAACCACTTTTTTGATTTCTCAAAATACCCCGTAATGCCACAAGGAATGAAAATAGATACAGTCAATTCTCATTGTTCATGGTAGTTACATTCTGTAAAGTTGCTGCCAACACTGAATCAGTGAATACTGAAACCTTAGCTGAGAACGTGTGTATCAGGAGACTCAATTTTTTTGCTGCTCTGCATGTCCATGAATGACTATGAAAGCACAACAAGTACTGATTTTGCAGTTAGAAATAAATTTTAGCAGGTACAGATAATCCTCACTTAATGGACACAACTGGGACTGGCAACACTGTCGCTAAGCGATGCAGTCATTAAGTGAAACAACACATGACCACACCCAACTTACAGCGTCAGTTTCAGTGTGGTCGTTAAGCAAATCCCACAGAGTCATTAAGTGTGATGTCACATGACCACAACTTGTGACCTTCTGCTGGCTTCCCCATTGACTTTGCTTGTCGGAAACCGGCTGGGAAGGTCACAAATGGTGATCACATGACTGAGGAACGCTGCGACCATCGTAAATGGGCGCCAGTTACCAAGTGGCCGAATCACAACCGTGTGACTATGGGGACGCTGTGACTATTGTAAGTTCGAGGACTGGTCGTAAACCTACCTTTTCAGCGCTGTCATAAGTTCAAACAGTAGCTAAACAGGGCAGTTGTTAACTGAGGACTACCTGTAGGCAAATGTGCAAATATGGAATCCACAAATATTGAGAATCGACTGTATCTAGATTCAGCTGCCTCATGTTACTTGGAACGCTGGCTGAAGAAGAACACCAGGGGAACATGATAGATCAAAGATTTCATTCTTCTCTAGAACAACTGCTGTCAAATGCTTGCCAACCTGACTTTCAGAGCAACTGCATAAAAAGTAGGTGGGGAAGAGCCAAATGTTTATAAGTTGCAACCCATTCTTCCCTAGCCTTGTGCTGTCTTGATGTGTCAGGATTCCAACTCCTAGAATTCCCAGCCACTCCCCACACATCAAGAAGCCACTCAATGGGTGGAAACTGCTGCAAACCAGCTGCCCTCCTCCCTCAAGCCCACTCAAATTCCTCTAGCTTCCACCCCATTCTGGACAAAGGGGTTCTTGGATGCCAGAGTACCCTATAGGCTGTAGTTCCAGATCAACGAAGATTGCAGAGGGCAGAGCCTGAAGCACTGACACCATCTCAGAGGCAGGGCTGGGGTTTTCAACAATCTGGGGAGAGGTTCTCACATTTTTAGGTGAAGTAAGCTTACCACACCTCATTCTCTTTTGTTCTCTGAAAATCAGGAGAGAATTAGCCATATTGTTCTTTATCGATTTTCTCATTAATTTCAATTGTGCAAATTGGGGTGGGGGAGTTGGAAGGGTTTACAAACAAGAGGCCACTGTTTACCTACCTCTGAACCAGATGATTTATGAGATTCCTCCTAAGTCTTTGATTCCATAAGATGAGGCCTTAGCTGAAATGTATGTCCCTGGCCACGGTAGGATGTGGCTTCCTATTTTCATGGTCCTAAGGAGTTCTGTATTTCTCAATGTATGGATGTGAGACCACTCTGGGGAACTATTCCTAAACTACACTCTGGAGGAATTTCTGGGACTGGTGGTCCAACACATCTGGAGAACATCAGGCACAAGGAGTATCAAATAGTTCTGGTCATGGAGAACTTCTGATTCTCCCATCTCCAACTGAGGGTATTTATAATTAGGAAAAGAAGGTTTCCTTACCAAACTCACTGGCGCACAAGTGTTCGAGGATGGCCTCCGACTTCATTTCATTGTCACATGGGGGACACACAGCAGTGCCTGACAAAAGAAGGCAGGACAGCTTAAAGCAAGGGAAAGTAACAACAGCAGCAAAAAAGGAACAACTACCCCATAGGCCAGTGTTGTCCAAACCTGGCCACTTTAAGATGAGTGGACTTCAACTCCCAGAATTCCCCAGCCAGCATGGGTGGCTG